GCCACATTTAAAAGGATTTTGATGAACAGTTGTATAAGACATAGTTGAAAGAAATAGAGATATTTGGTGTTAGGAAGCATACTCATTTAACTCAGGGATTTGGATAAGGTTGACATAATTAAATATTCCTTTTAAAAACATTACTCTTGAAGATAGAGAACGGTCGGAGGGACAAAGTAAATATGGAGAGACTAATGAGAAGAGAAATCAGCAGCCCAGGTGAGAGGTAAGGGGTAATTGATTAATGAAGAAGATGGGAGGAAGTGGAGTCCGAGAGGAGTAGGATGGATTGGACATCCACCCATGGGCCACTGGGAGGGAAAGTGACGTGGTTGTTTGGGGGAGCATTATGTTCAAGATACAAGCAGGGCGTTTTAGTGACAGCTGTTAGTTAAGCTGGTGTGCAGAGAACCTGAGGGTAGGAAATATGAATGGGGAGGCACCAGAACAGAGTGAAGATCAACAGTGATGGAAGTTACGTGATCCTTTTTACAGTTCACAGAGCACTTCAACACTTAGCAACTCAACTGGTATGTAATATAATTCTTTGCAGCAAAGCATGTCTTATTATGGCATTTCAGAGAGATGAAAACCAAAATTACCTCATGCAAATTTGTTGAAGCTTTTAACTCTAGCAAATGTCAGAACCAGGACTTGAAACCAGTTCATCGATGCCAAATTCTTAAGGTTTTTGATTTGTGATTTTTTATTACACTCTAGAGCCTATCCAATGAGGATGGGGCTGTCAAAGGTGTGTTCCCAAGGGGAAGAAATCTCAAGGCCACAGCTGAAGGAAAGAGGGTGCCGTGAAGGGAAAGGAGACAGAGTGGTTAGGGAGGGAGAAGAAGCTGGAGAGCCCTTGGCTTTAGAAACCAGACAGTGGGCAGAGGACAAGGAGCTTCCAGGAAGAGGAATGGGCAGGTTCTCAGATAGGACTAGAGGATCGGGACACTCAGTGCTGGGAACAGATCGTTTTCTTGACCACACATTTTGGCCTCTCCCTCATTTCACACATTTGGCTCTGATTCCTGACTAGATTACAAGTTCCCTGAGGGCGAGGCCCATGTCTTATTTTCCTTCTTGTTTCCGCCTTGCCTAGCACAGCTCTGTGCGTAGACTGATAGGAAATGTGAAAGCCCTCTGCATACAGATGATTAATCATCCTTAGAGTTTTTCCAAAGGCACAGTCTGATGCCAAAAACACATTTGTTTAAAACGTGTGCTTAGATTTGAATGAATCTGCCTAAATGGTGCCATCTGTTCTCCGGCAATTTCAGAAACATTTTAATACGGTTTTACCTTTAAAAGGACAAGCAAATGGGCATGCCCACAAGACACGAAGACGTCCTTAACTAAACGCAGAGCAGACACCAGCACATCCAATCACACTTAAACAGCTCCACATAAAGAATGTTTTCTGAGGTTTAAGAAAATTTTATCTAAAAGGACACCAACCGCTACTTCATGCAGAAAATATTTATGAGACATTACAAAACTGTAGGCATGGACTTCTACAGCATATTACTGCACTTTAATTATAGACTCCAGAAATGTAATTTCATTTTCGTAAATATCATATTCCTTTGAAATAAATGGGCACGCGCTCCAATGTTTATTAATGGTCCACATTTGATTGCACTTTCCCCATATCAGTTTCGAAGCCGAAGACAGCTGTTGAGAATAGTCTGTGTTACTTGTTTATATCGATGTTAATTTGACTTTCGTTACAGTACTGTAGGATTTATTGTCGTGCGAATACAACAGTGAAACTAAACCCATGTTTAAGTTCTGCAAATAACTTACAGTCACTTCCAGAACACCTCAACTTAGGTTCTAAATTTGAATTTGCGGTTTTACATGCACAGTTATTTGCTGATCCACTTTAGCATGCAAAATCACACACTGGCTAGGTTTGTGTATAGTTATTGTGGCAACAAGTAATGGGTCAAATTTTCAGCCTATTTAACTCACTAGCTACATCATCATCACCAAAACTATGCCATCTGTATATTTTGCTAGTTGGTGTAAATCAACCATGGTGTAGATCAAGAAGTTATTTTTACGAAAGAATTTCTGGTTGAAATAACATCCAGATATGTTTCCCTATCTGCATACGTGTGCATTCATAGCAAAATTCTTTGGTTAAGTCCCATTTTGCAAAGGTGGGAATCTGAACATATTGACTCTCATGAATATTCATTTGGAGTAATCTTAGTTTTTTTATGATTTGACAGGGTGGTACTGCTAACGAACATTTTGACTCAGCTCATTTTCTTTCTTGTAGAAAATTTATAATCTAAAAAAGTACAGAGAACAATAAGACCAGCATRTTTTAGTTTTCACAACCCAGAATTTTCTTCTAATAATTTTTGAATAAACGAAATAGCATGTCGCAGAGAAAGCTGATGTGTCCTTGTTGGCCTTCTACTTCTAACCCTCAAAAAGGCCACCACCATCATCAATTTGCTCTATCCTTCTGGTCCACATCGTTATCCTTTTAGTGACTTTAGTTATACTCCTGTAAACAATAGGTAGTCACACTTGTATGATTATGTAAACTCTATCACAGGGTTCACATCATTCTTTAATTTGCTGTTTTTCTTCAGTAATTTCTTCAGAAACCTATCCATGTCAATATTTCTGAAGGTTATTTCATTTTAACTTCTCTGTATTTTTAATTATCCCAGCCTATTAATCTCTTCTGCTGCAGATGTTCATTTAAGTTGTACATTTTGCACCAATTTCCCAAATAATGTTGCAGTGACTGTCCTTATACCTGTGTCTCCTGATATACCTATCCAAGAATTCTCTCTAGGAGATTCACCTAGTAGTTTCTTGATGGGTTGTGAGTTTTATGCATTAACCATGTTGCTACATACTGTCAAATTGCTCTTGTTAAAGTTCTTAAGTTACGTTTCCTTCAGCAGTATATAAAAATTCCCATCTCCTTAGGTCCTCACCAGCACTTGTTGTGCTAGACTTTATCTTTTTAATTTTTGCATTCTCGTGGGTATGAAATCATTTATTCTTATTTTTCAAAGTTAGATAGTTCTCAAAATTTATAAATTGGAGCATTTTTTTCAAATATACATTAACCATTTTTAGATTCCTTCTTTATAGGATCCCTATTCTAGCTTTTGCCTTTTTTTCTGAGTTGTCTTTTTCTTGAGTAATGAGTTGTGTATTTCAAATCTTAATCTCTAATCAGACTTACATATTGCAAATATCTTCACTCACTTACATAAGTCTTTAAATTTGGGGATATTTTGTCAAATATTATATTTAAATCATATTTGAGTCAATTTATTTTTCTATTTTCTATGTTATCTGAAAGCTATCCATTACTACCCTGGACTGATTACAATATACTTCCATATTTTCTTGTGTTCTTGTTAATGTTGTGTTATTTTACACTTAAGGCGCCATTTCTCTTCTCAGTTAATATCCAAAGGACCTAAAATCAGCGTATTACAGTGATGCATCCACATCACTGTTTCTAGCAGCTCAATTCACAATAACAAAGCTGTGGAATCAACCTAGGTACCCTTCAACAGAAGAATGGATAAAGAAAATGTGGTACATATGCACAACGGAATATTACTCAGCCTTAAAGAAGAATAAAATGATGGCATTTGACAGTAAATGGATAGGGCTGGAGAACATCATGCTAAGTGCAATCCCAAAAAACCAAAAGCTGGATGTTTTCTGTTATAGGCAGATGCTAATACACATAAGGCTTTATTTTATTTTTGAATCTGTGTATATAGTGTAAAAAGTTAACCTAAATTTACTTTTTCCTACCTGGAGTGCCAGGTATTCCAGCACCACTACTTAATTAGTCTGTTATTTCTCCTCTGCAGTGTGATGTCCCCTCTGTCCTAACTGGAGTTGCTCACTGAGCACAGCATGTTCCATAGACCTAGTTGTCTGCTCCTGCTTCAGTGCTCCTCTAATGACCATGGCTTTGTGGTACACCTGGACGCCGGGAAGGACATGCACTCCCCCTGCCCCTGCTTCTTTCACAAAATTAATTTTCTTTTTATATGAAGATTTTCTCCTACTTGATTTTTAGAACCATTTTGTCTTATTCTGGGGGAAAAAACCTGAAATATTCTTATTTCAATTGCATTTTTTATATATAGGTTAGCATGTAAACTTTTATATGTAGATTTTTAGTTTTTTCATCTATGAATTGGTATATTTCAGGTTTTCTTTTTATGTTCTTAAATACTATTTCATCAGTTCCCTATAGAGTATATCTTTTACATAAGTAATCCCTTGTTATCTCCTTGTCTTTGTTGCCATTCTGAATAATATTTGATTTCCTAATTGTTGTTGGGCTGTTAGAATTTAATTGATTTTGTATCTAGCAATATTGATAAACTTTTTGATTCGTATCAGTTTGTTTTTTTTTTTGTAGAAGCTCTTGAGTTTTCTAGGTTGACTGTAAATATTCTGTACACAATGACATTGTAATGCATTCTTTTCCTATTATTCTGCCCCTATGTCAGTCTCTTTTTTATGATGCTGGTTAGAGCCTGTGGCTCGGTGTTGAGCAGTAGCAGTGACGTAGGCATCCTTGTCTGTGAATCGTGTTTACCACGTGATAACCGTTCTCTTGATACACACACTCTCGTCTCCTTCCTATGAGGTTAATGTAGGCATTTTCAATATGGATGGCCAGGGATAGGCATGGATTGTAGCTGGGTGATGAAATAAAGTTGTCATCCTGGTGAGAGGACTTGGTCTTCACCTCACTAGAACTTTTCTTTACGTCACTCTCTGAATTAACCCATCCACGTTGGTTTTCAGTCATCGGAGGTAATAACATTGAAAAGCACGTACTTTATAGGTCTCAGTTACAAGTCTTTTTGTTCCATTTGACAGTGTTGGCTCCATGGGAAATGCTATATCTTTAGAAATATACGTTTAAATCTTTTGACACTCTTCCAAAGTTCTCAGTTCTAATTATTTTTGTTTTGCGGTTTCTTCTTTCATAGACTCCCATGAACCAAGCCTCGACCCGTTCCCACTGCATCTTCACCATTCACTTGTCAAGCAAGGAGCCAGGCTCTGCAACTGTCCGGCACGCCAAGCTCCACCTGGTTGACCTGGCTGGCTCTGAGCGAGTTGCCAAGAGTGGCGTAGGGGGCCAGCTTCTGACGGAGGCCAAGTATATCAACTTGTCACTGCACTACTTGGAGCAGGTAAGGCAGCAGAGTGGGACGTCACCGCAGCAACGTCCTCGCACTTCATTTGCATCTGCCATTCTACTCTCTGTTAAGTAGACCTAACAGACAGTTTGCCATTTTGGTCTTTTTAAGTGAACAGTTCAGTGACAAGTACTTTCACCATGTTCTGCAATATCACCGCCATCAATTTCTAGATCCATTTCATAATCCCAAGCAGAAACTCTGTGCCCATTAAATGATAGCTCCCATCCCCTCCTATCCCTGTAGCCTCTATACCACCTTCTGTACCTGTTATCTTGCCTATTCCAGGTGCCTCATATAAGTGACTATTTCAATATTTGTCCTTTTATGTCTGGCTTATTTCACTTAACATGATATTTTAGAAGTTCGTCTGCATTGTAGCATGTTTTGGAATTTTATTCCTTTTCAAGATTGAATAATATGCACTTATTCACTTGGTTCATCCACTCATCCTTTGAAGGTCTCATGGGTTGTTTCTACCTTTAACTGTTGTAAACAATGCTGCAGGGAACACAGGTATATCTACTAGCATTTTGTATATGCCATTTCATTTAAACCTTACAACAGCCCCATGTTGTAAGTGTTGGGTTTTAAAAATTCAAGTCCTCCCAAGACCTTCCCAAAGTTACTGGGTGGCTGAGGATTTGAACTGAGACTTACTGAGGATTTGAACTGAGACTTACTTGACTACACAGCCAATGCCTTTTTCCACTTACTGTCTCATTGCCTTATTGTCTTTATTGCAAAATTAGTAGTGAGTGTGACTGTAGCCTTCTGTTGCCTAATCCTTCTGGCTTGTAGATTGGCTATAACTTGGAGGTGGCCAATATTTTTCCAGCTTCCGGTGACTTCATCTAGTCAGCAATTTTGTCCCCTTAGGCTCAATTTCCCTCCCTACCTCTAATCCAAGTTGACTACGATCCAGCCCAGTAGGTGCTCTGATTTTAATTTTTGAGTTTGGTACAGAAAGCTTATCTGAATTTAACTAAACATATTGTCCAAAAAAAAAAAATCTTTATCTCCAATATGAGTGGATTGGATTAGATGATTTCTCAAGTTCCTTTCACTTTTTGAGCATGAGCAGTATGAATTGAATGTTAAGGATGGCAACTGTTTTCAGATTCTAGAAAAGAAACATGATTAAAAACTGGAATGAAGAAGTACAGAGGATATTGATGAGGCAGGAGGACTTGTTAATGAATGTTAAGGCTCAAAGACTTGAGGGGAAAACCAAGAACAAAACTTTTTAACTTTTTTTTTTTTTTAACGGCCTAATGAACCCTTTGAGACTGATGCTGTCCTGACGGTAAATGCTTTATAATGGTGTCTGCAAAAGCTGGTTGAGAGAAGCCAAAGGGAGACTGTGTGAACAGGATGCACACGGTAGCTTCTGATCCAGTGCATCCCAGTAATGCAGCACCCAGAAAATCAGATCTGCATGGCATCCCAATCATTATAGAATTTTGACAAGAGTCAGCAGTCCTTAGCTCTTCCTTGCTAAATATTCCACACTGCTTATGCTTAACAGAGCTTTTTACTTAATAGGACACTTACAGAACAATGATATGAAAACGTAATGAACTGTATTCAAAGTGCTTTATTTCAAAGAAATGTATCTACTTATTTCAGATGGTAGCATAGTCTGTTATAATTCCCATTATGTCCATCTGTTCATATAACATAAAATTCATCAGTTGAATCGAACTTTCTACCAATTGTAATCACTCGAGAGAAATGTCTGCCCCCTTTTCTTCCTTTGTTCTACACAGGCTTTGAAAGCTGCCTGTCACTAAAACTGCTCCTATCCTCACATTTCCTCTCTTCAAATCCTCATAATATCAGCCTCATGTGAGTTGTCTTGGTGGCTACGTGACATTTGATTTTCAATGTCAATAATTAAACTATCTAACAGATATGTGTAAGGACTGTAAAGTGCTAAGCACTGGAACACGGTGGCGAACAAAATGAGAGTGGTCCTTGCCCCAGGGTCTCATGGTTTGAGGTAGGAGGACAACTTGAAGCAAGCAAGCACGAAGTCTGTGACTGTGATGGGGTGAGAGCTGTGGAGAGGAAGGAGAAGGAGTGAGCAGAGCTCATATGGGGACCTGACTCAGACTGAGGAGGTGAGGGTTCAGGATGCTTCGCTGGTGGCCTGACTCTAAGCAGAGGCTTGAGGGAGGAGTAGGGGTGAGCCAGGCGAGGCAAGGGCCTAGAGCAGGTCAGGCAGTGGGAACGGGAGCCTCTCAGCTCCTTTCTCCAGCCCCCTGGGGGCATTGGGTCACTCTGGATCCCAATTTCACCCATGTGTCATTGACTGTGGCTCTTATGTATAATTTATCTGTTTCATTGTGACCTGCTTCTTCTCAGCTGTTATTCACCTTCATATCCAAGTGTCTTTGTAGGCAAGAAGGAGGCTCAAGATGAGGTCAGGGAATGAGGAGAAAAAATTAACACAAGCACAAGAGGAAAAAAAAGTGTCAATATGGGAATCTGCAGTGTGTGTAAAAAATGGATATGGGGCATTGAGAGCTTGTTGGAGGTTCTAGCAGAGGAGTGCAGCTACTCATACATCCCTGACCACAAAAACGGTCCTCCTCTATCGGGGAGGGTCGTCCTCTTCAACTGAGCATGCAGCTTCTGGAGGGTCGCACGTGGAGCAGTGAGGGAGGAAGGGGACACCCGCCTAGCCGGCCAGATCGGCCAAATCAACCCTGGCGATCAATGGGGTGACAGATGTTGCAGCCAGATCGCCTTCAACATACTACAGGGACACAGCCACATCAATGTTTATAGCAGCACAGTCCACAATAGCTAGACTATGGAGCCAACCTAGATGCTCTTCAGTGGATGAATGGATTAAAAAATGTATATACACAATGGAATTTTACTCAGTAATAAAAGAGAATAAAATCATGGCATTTGCAAGTAAATGGATGGTATTGGAGAAGATAATGCTAAGTGAAGTTAGCCAATCCCAAAAAAACAAATGCCGAATGTTTTCTCTCATACAAGGAGGCTGACTTATAGTGGGGTACGGAGGGGGAACATGGAGGAGGAATAGATGAATTCTAGATTGTGCAGAGGAATGGGAGGGAAAGGGAGGGGGCAGGGGATTAGCAAGGATGGTGGAAAGTAATGGGCATCATTATCCAAATTACATGTATGAAGACATGAATTGGGTGTCAACATACTTATATGCAAACAGAGATATGAAAAATTGTGATATATTTGTGTAATAAGAATTTTAATATATTCCACTGTCATTTATTTTTTAAAAAATTGATATGGGGGTTGAGTTCATTTAAGGGGAGCTGCTGGAGAGCAGGTGGATGGGTAGAGAAGGGATATTGGAATCCATTTAGAGATACTGAGAGAGAGACAGGGACTACATGGTAAGAAGAGTAATGAAAAGAGTGGGAAGATAATGAAATAACATAATTCAAGGACTTTTGTAATCAAATTCTCTGTGTATAGTACTTTACTATGTGGCCACAGAGACTGGAAGTATAACACAATTTAGTGTAACTAGCTTCATTCATTTCTTCACTCACTAAATTGTGATTGAGTGGCCCCTGGGTGCTGTGAGTTACCTTAGGCAGCAGGGAAAGAGGCAGTGTTACCATGTCACCAGCAAACACAGGAAGAGAAAACCTCTACTAGAGATCCATTTTAGTGTTGGTAATTTACCTTCTCTTTCTCAGTTTCAATGTAAAAGAGATGAACTAGGACATAGCTTGCTAACCTGCCTTGCATTAATTAGCCTGCATGGTTTAGGAATTTTATGCAGAATGAGATTTGCCCTCCTGGCCACAGCTGGGAAGCCCCACACCTGCTGGGAGGGTCCAGCCTGCCTGAGTCCAAGGCACCTTATTAGGCTCAGAAGTAAGTAACTTTCTGTTTACCAGAATATCATTGGTTTTGGAGTTTTCTTGTGTATGCAGTACTTTTTCCAAAAATTGTCCTCAAAAAACACTTTCAGCCACAATAGCAGGGTACGTCTTCACCCTGGAAATTGAGTTCGTGTGAGGAAAAGCACAGGCGCCGTGTGTGCTTGTGCTCACTGTAAACCTCACCAAGTGCCCCTGGTGTGACCCGTGGCCTCCATCAGCCCAAACATCAAGTGAGAAACCACCAGGAATGGAGAATGTTTGCTCTCCACCTCTTCAGAAATTGGAATCTGGCTGCTTTCAGCCAGTTATGCAACAGAAGTGGACTTTTTCAGAGTTTCAATTCCCATTTGGCTCCTGGCGCATATGTTATGTTCAGGAGAAACACTGATGGTGCCAGTGGTAGTCAGACCGCTCTGAATCCTTGTCAGTTTTCAGAGGATAATTTTCCATGCCCTTCTGAGATCTTTAAAAGAAAATTGCTTTAATTCATTAAATAGTAAGCTAGTGATTATAATAGTCATTATTGATTCCAGGCCAAGCTTCTAGGTCCTTAGAAATGTTATTAAGAATAATGTGAGTTTCTACTCTTTATCACCTTAAGAATGCTTTCAGGAGCATTTGACATTGTGTTTATATAAGAAACCCAAAATGGAAGTAAATAGCTTTTTTTTTTTTTTTTTTTTTTTTTTTTTTTTTTTAAGAAAGCCAGGCTGTATGACTACACCCTATCCCTGTGCCCTTGAGAAGATTATTGGGTTCCTGCCCCCTCAGTAACTCAAGAATCATCTTCCTCTGCCTTTTTCCTGAATGCCTGCCCTTTCTGTGTCACTCTGCAGATTTGTGTCTGTTCTGGTGGGCTGGGTTCATTATGGTTCTTTCTCCTGGCTACACTGATTGATTCAAGCGTGGGTCAGGACCTAAGCTGGTCCTTAGAGAAGATCAGGAATTTTGTTTATTGATTAGGGAAACAATGTTCTGTCTCCCCTAAGTTATAAATAAGGAAGTATATAACATCAGGGCACTTGGAAGCCATCCTGTGGCTGTGAGGAGGAGCTGACTTCTACCACATGAAAGACAGAAGAGAGTTATGGGCAAAACTACATCCTTGTTGGTAGCACTAACCTTTGGAGTCATTTCTAACCTGGGGCCCCTCCTGTTCAATTCCATGAGCCAATAAATTTCCCTCATGATTGAAACCAATGTGAATTACATTTTCTGTTACTTAAAACCAAAAGTGAATTCAGTAACACAGAATTTAATATCAACAGGGAGTTTAATAAGCATGTTCTTCTTTATGCTAAGTTGTCAATAAAGGCATTGGATAGAAAATATATATAAATATTATTTCCTAGAGCAGTAAAAAGGTGATTTTTTAATGAAAGAACCTCAATGAACTTAGAGAACTATTAGATGCTTAATTGATGATTCATAAATAACAATGCTTCTCTCTCTGCACATCAGTCATGCCAATCCGTGTTTGGTCTGGTACTTGATACTTGGGCCACCTTACCTGTATCAGGTATATAACTTGTTCTTTAGGCTCTTGGGGCCTGAACCTTTCCTCAGCATCCCTTGCCACTCATATCAAGGCTGCCATGTTCTCCACCTTTCTTCCTATTACACTGAAACAGATCACCCAAATCTCATTCCATATTGAGGACTCTCACACTGCCTTTCCAAATGAAACTAGTTCATCCATTCATTGTGTTCAGTACACGTTGTATTCATCAGCTTTCTTAGTTGCAAGCCGGAAAGTCCGTGCTAGCTATTTTAAGCAGCATAGAGTTTACTAAACATAAAGAATCTCAATAAAAGTTAGAAATCTAGCTTGGATACCACCCAGCTGGAAGCAAAGCAACCAGAAGACACAGCTAACCACCCCACTGAATTGTTCTGCAAAACACCTCTGTTATCCCCACCTGGCACTTACGACATTGAGGGCAGGGTTTCAGAAACTTTACCAGAGCTGCATCAGAAGAACCAGATGGCTACCACCTTTCTCTTTCACAAATCTGATTCTCCTCCTTATGGTCACTACCTCGTATTGCTTATCTCCAGATCCCACACAGGGAATCTGCTTGGTGGGGCTACGTTTTATGCAAAATATGAGTTGCAAGACAGACTAAGATGTGTAGTTTTATATGAAGTCAAAGTAGAATGGGAGTGTCTTGAGTACTGATGGAGACAACTTAGTTTCTGCCACATGTACTTAGTTCTGGAACGTGGTTTTAAGCAGTGGAAGTAGAGTAGTAACCAAGAGGCGTGGCATCTCTGACTTGGAAGAGTAGAACATCGAGTGGGGAAACAGATGGAGAACAAGTAAATAAAGATAATTTTAAATAGTGGTAAGTACTAGAAGAAAAATAAAATAGATTAACAGGCTGTTAATATTGCTATGTAATATTTGACAGGGTATCCAGGAAAAGACCTTTAAGGACATAAAATTTGAACAAATATTTGAATGAGAAGAAATAGAAAGCTGTGTGAAAAGTTGAGGCAGGAGCGTCCTGGGTAAAAGGAACATCAAGTTCAAAAGCTTTGATGTGGGAATAGCATTGGCCTGTGAGAAGGCCGGTGCAGGCCAGGGGAACATGGCAGGAGACAAGGTCAGATAGGTCAAAGGGTGCCAGATTCCACAGGACTTGAGTTATTATACTAACTGTATTGGGAAGCTACTAGAAGATTGTAAGCAGGGAAGTGACTTGGTGTAACTTATATTTTATAAAGACTGCTCTGGTTGGTGTGCAGAGAATAGGCCATGGAAGGGCAAAAGTAGAAGCATGGAGATGACTCAGAGCCTTGTGCAGTTGTCCAAGCAAGGAATCCTGGAGGCTTGGGTTGGAGTGGTCCATTTCTGGGTAAGTCTTATTGGAAAACCTAAGAAACCTAGAAATTGCTGATGGATTGGATATTGAAAGTGAGGAAAAATAAAAGATGATGGCTAGGGCTTTGGCCTGAGCAACTAGGAAAATGATGGTGCCATTAATAATGATGAATAGACCTGAGAAAGAATCAGACATGGGGCAGAGAGGAGAGAAACCCAGGTGGCCATGAAGAGGCACCAAAGAGCTGATAGGTCAGGAGAGTTCAGACTTGGGGTATATATTGGGAAGACATCAAAATAGAGATTCCTGTAAAAGCCAGGAGATAGGAAGGGATTACCTGGGAAGAGAGTATAAATAAGAAAGAAAAGAGGATCAAGAACAAAGCTCTGGAACTCCTTACTACTTATAATTTGAGAAGAAAAAAAGGAATCATTCTTTAACTAGTTTTTTTAAAATATTTATTTTTCAGTTGCAGTTGGACACAATACTTTTATTTCACTTATTTATTTTTATGTGGTACTGAGGATCGAACCCAGGGTCTCGCATGTGCAAGGTGGGCACTCTACCGCTGAGCACAACCCCAGCCCTATTTTTTTGGGGGGTGTGATTTCATTTATATAAAATTCAAAAACAAAAATAAAAGAAATATTAAGAATAGATACAAACTGTGATTATATATACACAATGGGATATTACTCAGCATTGAAAGAATAAAATTATGGCATTTGCAGGTACCAGCCCTATTTTTTAAAATATTTTTTAGTTGCAGTTGGACACAATACCTTTATTTTATTTATTTTTATGTGGTGCTGAGGATCAAACTCAGCACCTCACACGCACTAGGCGAGCACTCTACTGCTGAGCCACAACCCCAGCCCCTCATTAACTAGTTTTTGAGGAGAGCTAAAACCAAGAAACATGGTGTCCCAATTACCAAGTGAATGGAGTGTTTTCCCAAAGGAAACAATGAGTGCCTGTGTAGAATACTTCATCCAACTCAAAAGGCTAACAAGAAGACAGTCAGTGCTTTTGGTACAATTGAGGTTGCTGATGACCTTGGCAAGAGTCAACTTGGTCTAGTGCAATAGTGGGCATCCAGAATGGGCAGCATCCAAATGAAAGAGAGCACAAGAGGAGATGCATGTAGGAGCAAAGTCGATGAGGATAGAAGAGGAAGAGGGTGGGGGGCTGAACTGAGAACAGTTAACAGGGAAAAACAGAGTGTTCTTTAGTGATAGGAATGTAGGAATCCAGTGGCAGATGCACGACAGTCTCAGTCAGCTTGCTTATATCTGGTAGAAGGGTGGCCCTGAGCTCAATCTGAGGTTAGAGAGAAGAGAGGGGAGGGATGCCGTGACATGGGGCTGGCTCACCACTGAGGGACAGAGATTTGAAGAGGGAGGAGAAAGTATGAAGGCCTCCTTTCTGCAGTTGGGAAACTGATCCAGGACTGCTGGGTTGTAGTAACACCTGGGCTTATGAATTTAAAGTGAAACTAGTGGAATGTACTTTTTCTTAAAACAGCTTTCAAAAAACAATCTTGACGTCTGGTTTTGTAAACCAAAGTAGATCAAAAGGTTGTGGTGATGGGAACTACATAGCTGGGCAGAGGGAGGGCTGGACCAGCAGGTGTTGATATTCCTAGGGTTCAGGATCTTATGATGCCCCTGAATTGACATTCTGTGGGCCGATAATTCCAGCTGCTTTGTAAGGGACATCCTAGCATTGGATAATCTTCCCAGGATGATCCTGAGCCCTGGTGCCTCTCTTTGGGGACAGCCCCAGCATCCCATCATCCATCTAGTGCCTTCCTATTAAGTACCTAAGGAACTCATGAGGAGTAAGATAAGCTGCCTCTTTCATCGATGATGAGAACAAACACGTCCACAGCACTTACTATGTGCAGTTACTACTCAAAGTGATTTACACATTTTAATGCCTTTAATCATTCTACTGTTATGAGGTAGGTACTACATTTATCCTGGTTGTACATGTGAAGACACTGAGGCAGAGATGTCGAGTGGCATGCCCTAGTAAGGTTAGGACTTTCCCCTGGACAACTTGCATCAGAATCTGGGATCTCAAACTTTTAACGCAGCTTCTCATAGCTCTTGTTCACTGTTCTGTCTCTGCCTTGGAAATAGGGCACACAGCTCAATTTGTTTGTTTTTGTTTGGATGGGGTACTGGCAATCCACACAGGGCCTTGTGCACGCCAAGCAAACTCTCTTCCACTAAGCTACATCTCTAGCCCTACAGCTTAATTTTGGTGGGGTCAAAGTCATCAGGCACGATTGACTATTATGTTTTTATACAGATTTTCCAACAGCTGGAAGCAGAATGAGAGTGTGTCCACTCCTCTGGAAGTCACTTCATCTGTCCAGAAATTACGGGGTTCACAATACTAGGTTCATGCTACATTTACTTGATTCCATCTTTACCATTCTTGTACTGAATATTCTTGCTAAGGTATTTATTCTGTGCCCAACTTTTAGATGTCACCCTGCATTTAGTCATTCTTTCTTTTCCTATTTTTATTGCTGCTGAAGCGCCACTGTTTGTCACTTGAGCCTTTCCTGTCAAGGTAATGCTATTGTTTTTTTCAACTTTATCACAGGTCATCATTGCCCTTTCAGAAAAAAACCGTTCGCACATTCCTTACAGGAACTCCATGATGACCAGTGTCCTGAGGGACAGTTTGGGAGGGAACTGCATGACCACTATGATTGCAACGCTGTCTTTAGAGAAAAGGAATATCGACGTATGTTGTTTTTCTTTTTTTCTTTTTATTCAGGGGATCTTAGCCTGGGTTTTCCTTGCTGGTTTTGGGGATCAAGTTGAGGGTCCTGAGTGAGTTTCCATCTTTTCTGCTGGGTTGAGATAGGCTTCAGGGGTGAACACACCACGGAGTTCTCAGCATTAGGTTATTTGCTAGCCTTGTAAAAAAATCCATTTGAGAACTGACTTCACATATACCAGGTGGTTTGAGGAAGCTGTAGACACAAATTTGGGAAGGCCTGCTTAAATTTGAAAGGCATTTTCAGCCAGAAAAATGAGAAAGTCTTCTCTTGCTTCTCTTGAACAGTTTTGCTCCTGGCTAGTAATATCGGGTGCCTTGGAGGTGTCCCTGAAATCTGTCCCCAGACGTGTCCCAGGGTGCAGCTTGCCGGCGGCTTTGGTGGTGCCTGGCTAGTGAACGCTCTCCTGGGGCTGCTCTGGAGCCAGCGGACGTTTCCCACATTGCAGTTGCTGAATGTTTGGGGTCCAGATCCTCTCCAAGAGAGCAGCAGGGTGCTTCCCAGAGCACGCCAAGCCTTTGATGGTGAGGTGCCGAGAACAGCCTCCCTTCTTGGTCTGTTACAAATATTTATTTTGTAGTCTCTCATGTTTGTGGTTGTGGTACCTGCTGTGATTATGACTTACATATCTGGTTCTGGTTTAACAGATCAATAGTTAAAAACACATGTCAGTTGCCATTTGGGGTCTTAGGATCTCCCATATTTTTGGCATTGGTCATTTTATTAAGACAAAATCAAGAAAATAATCTTCCAGAGCTAAGTTCCCTAATTTAGAGGCATCACTCTTCATTGTGGTTTTTATATACATCACTCTTTAGGTATGAATCTTTTTTCTATGACTAAAATTTAAGTTTTGTCTAACAAGAAATTTCTCTCCCTGTTATAACACTTTTAAAAGTTGTTTTGCTTTGTAGGAATCTATATCTACCTGCAGATTTGCACAACGAGTGGCACTCATAAAGAATGAAGCTGTTCTTAATGAAGAAATCGATCCCAGATCGGTAAGCAAATTGTAACTGTTGAAAAAAAAATGATTATATCAAAGATTAGCTAAAACTCAGGCTGGGGCATTTACTCTGTACTAGACAGTTCTAAGTAAGGCATTAACTGATTAAATTCTCAGAACAAGCCAGTGAGTAAATGCTGGCTCTGTCTCTGCAGATAACAAAATTGAGGCACAATGATGATAACTTGCTCAGAATCACAGTGCTAATGAGTCTCAGCAACTTAGACAGACCCTGTCTCAAAATAAATCTAAAAAGGGTCAGTACTCAGTGATAAAGCACCTGAGTTTGATCCCCAGTACCAAGAAACAACAGCAATAACAAAACTAAATAGCAGAGCCAGGATTCAAATCTAGACAGTCCAGCCCAAGAATCTGTGCTCCTACCTCCAGCTCCCACCACTTTACCACAGAGTTGTGCCCTGAGTCCTAAAAACATAGGCAGCCTGTTCCAAAACTCAGTTTAGCTTTCTAGAGACAAGAACAAACCATCTTTTATAAATGCTTATAACGAAAGAGAAATGCTAATGGTTAATACATGGGAAAAATAATTTTTTGATTCTTTTTTTTATTATTAGTTGTTCAAAACATTACAAAGCTCTTGACATATCATATTTCATACATTTGATTCAAGCAGATTATGAACTCCCATTTTTAGCCCATATACATATCGCAGATTCACATTGGTTCCACATCCACTTTTTTACATACTGCCATACTAGTGTCTGTTGTATTCTGCTGCCCTTCCTATCCTCTACTATCGCCCCTCCCCTCCCCTCTCCTCCCATCTTCTCTCTCTGCCCCATCTACTGTAATTCATTTCTCTCTCTTGTTTTTTTCCCCTTTCCCCTCACTTCCTCTTATATGTAATTTTGTATAACAATGAGGGTCTCCTTCCTTTGAATCACTGTCCTATATTCTAAGGGACTTTCAAAAATTATCAGTCTGATTCATGGAAAAATGAGCAAGTTTCTTGTTTGATAATAATAAATCCTCCTTTATCAAAACACTTTTTTAAGGGAAAATAAACTTCAAGTTTCATGAAAGTATATATTTTCTCTTTTCTGTTTGTTAGTTTTCTATAAAGGAAATGCAGCACCAAATCATCTCATGCCAACACTTAAAATGTGGAAATGAAATATCTCAAGTTTTGTCAAATTTCATAATTAAGATTGATATATTAGTCAGACACAGTGGTGCCCACCTATAATCCCAACAGCTCAGAGGCTGAGGCAGTAGAATCACAGCCTCAGTAACAAGAAGAAAATTCAGTGAGACCCTGTCTCTAAATAAAATACAAAATAGGGCTGGGGATATGGCTCAGTGGTTGAGTGCCCCTGAGTTCAATCCCTGGTAAACCCCCATCCCCAAATAAAAGATTTGTTAGGGCTGGTGAAAGATACAGCTCAGTGGTATAGCACGTGTCTAGGCTGTGTGAAACCCTGGGTTCAATCCCCAGCACTACCAAAAAAAAAAAAAAAGATTATATAACATTTTTAAAAATCACTCAATTTTTCTTATTTCTCCAGAATATAAGCTGATGTAGGTTTTCTAGTATGCATTATTAAGGAATATGAAATCTTGCCAACAGTGCTTCAATTAAAAATTTCTCAAATTTACTGTTTTCCATATTAATTACTTCCTCTTGATTATTTGCCCCTTCTCCCCTGAAATCATTACACTGAAGAATAGAGAGAAAGGAAGAAAAAGGAATGATGGGAATATCTGTTTTACCCTGCTTGCCTCTGGGAGCTCCAGGCTTCCCTGATAGAAGAGAAAACCAATGGATGAGGCAGGAGTCTATTTCCAGTACAGGCCCTGGTCAGGTATCAGCATCAAGAAGAGCCCCCACAGGGAAGAAGAGATGGAATGCAAGGGCCTGAGTCAAGTGAAATTGCACTTCCTACTATCCCTACCTTCCAGCTGCCCTATGACATTCCTGTGCAGAACAAGAAAGACAGTAATAGCATTACTACCCCGAAGAAAAAAATTAATAAAAATCAACATATTAGACATTGGAAGGGGTTTTCCTTTGAATTGTCTAGAGAGACACTTCTTTGAAGCGACATGATGAATTTGAAGAAAGGCGAACATTATTATGTGTTTGATGTGGATCTGTGAGAGATTTAAAGAAAACAGAGATGAGGAGTGAAAAGCTAATAGCTGATAATTGAACAAGTTGCTGGGGTCTGCCTAGTACAGAACAATCTAGTAATTAACAAGTGTTGTTTCCTCATTTGTATAATAATTTCTTCTGAACACTGACATTTCTATTTACTATTTTATGTACATAGTTTATCTGAAGTGTGACAATTGGAAATTTGTCTAGAAACCATCCAAGACACAACTGGGTGGGGATTTCTTATGCCTTACTCTCAAATTATAATGGCAAATGTGGAAACAGCCCTGTAAGTTGGGAGTGATCAAGGATCTGCCCTACTTTCCTTAAAAGTATTGGTACTTCAGAGAGAGAAGGTGATAAAAGAACTGTGAGCCCGGTCAGAATTGGTGACTGGGCTTGGGCCAGTATCTTCTCAGGATGGCTTTAATTTCAGAGTTCCTGCAGTAATCTGATGGGAGGTATAACTGTGGTCATCTCAAATCATAAAAAGTTGGCTTAGTTTTGATATATCTATTGCATAAGACGGAAATAATGTAGTTTTTTACATTTCACTTTGAAAGTTTTAATAGAAGCAAAATGTATTGCACCAAATATATTAATTTATTAGAGGAGAGTTCAGATGAATGACTCACAGTTCTTGTCTGAAGATTTTTGTTCTTCATAGCTTGATGATTCTGGGAATATTTTTTAAAAGAAGCAAACAAATAAAATTCAGACTCTCCTATATGCATTCAAATAAAATCCTAGGAACACTGACATGTTCAAAATACTCAGTACCACATTCTTTGGGACTTCTGTTCCTATTGATGTGGTCCAGATCACCTGAAACTCACCTAAATAAATTTTTAGAAGCACCTTTGAAATATATATCTGAGGTTGAAAGAAATTAAAAGAATTCACCAGAGCCTGAAAGAAAGCTGAGGCTACAGTTGTCCTGGAGTAGGTAAAAAGAGTTGTAACAAAGGGATAGGAGTAGGTCCTGGAATTTTGCAAGGAGGGTACTGAACCTAAGACATCTTCTTATCTCCCTAACAAAAAGCCTGTGTGTGTGGAGGGGGGGTGGGGAGTGGAATCTAATGGCATAGAGAGACATTAGCGCAGCTTGACTGCCTTAGCCTGGACTCTAAGTAGAACAAAAAGTACTTTATATAAAAAACTAAAACCCTCAGCACTACCTCTCATGGTTTTGAAATTCAAATCCATACAACCCTTTTAGCCTGGCAACCTGCAAGCAAAGTTACGGAATTAGAAAAGGTACTGAAAGACAAACTAGATTTTTTTTCTTTCTTTTCTCCCTCTCTCTTTCCATTTCATTCTTTCTTTTTTTGTTCCTTTCTCTCTTTTTATTCGTCTGTTCTTTTCTCCCTCCCCCCTTCCCCCTTCTTTCTTTTTTTCTGGTGAGTAATACCAAATAGTCAAAGGAGTGTGAAAGCTGGATTGGAGCTGCTAATTTTTGTTTTAGGAATTTTGCATAATGATCACAGTGGGTTTATTTCAAGGATTTAGGGATAAACTGGGCGCCATGGTGCATCTCTGTAATCCCAGCAGCTCAGAGGCTGAGGCAGCAGGATCTCGAATTCAAAGCCATCCTCAGTAACAAGAAGACCCTAAGCAATTCAGTGAGCCTCTGTCTCTAAATAAAATACAAAATAGGGCTGGGGATGTGGCTCAGTGGTCGAGTGCCCCTGGGTTCAATCCCCAGTACCCACCCCAAAAAAGTATTTAGGAATAAGTTATCACTAGAAAATATATCAATGCATAGAAAAAAATGGGAAAAAATTATAATGAGAATTTGTTTATGGAAGGCAATACAGGGGTGAGAACTTTTAAGAGATCTATAATGTTTTATTTCTTAAATAGTGGGGACATGGATGTTAACTTCAGCTATGTAATGGGTATCATATATTATTTAATGCCTTTTCTGTATTCTGAAATAGTTCAAATTAAAAGACCAATTACATGAACGTAGGTGATTCATCACATGCACAGTTTGAACAAAAAAAAAAAATGGATGATTTCAGGTTAAGTATTTGATAACATTAAGCATTCATCCACACATTGAAAGACTCATTAAACTGTAAGTGAACATTTAAACTGATAAAGCATATTAATCAAAAAATTACATAAACATCACTTTAAAAATGAACTGTTAGAAGTAACAAAAGACTGTTTTAAGAATTACACATGAAGATCCTAGCTAGTGAGACAATAAAAATAATAAAATGCATGAGAATTAGAAAAGAAGAAAACATCTGTCCTTACTTGCAGATAATTTTTTGTTTATGTAGAACATTCAAGAATATTTAATAATAAACAGAACCAAAATATGCTTGGAAAATTATTTAGAATATAATCCAAAACTGAATTGCATTTTTGTATTCCAGAGGCCAACAATTAGAAAATATAATTTTCCAAAATTCCAATTACAATATCAACAAAAACTTTTTTCTATAAATAAGATATTTATAGAAAAATTATAAATTTTATTGAAGGAGAGAGGCTTACCATGTTCATGGATGGGATGATTCAATGTAATTCCAATTAAAATTTGAGGAAGGCTTTTATATAATTTGATGAGCTAGTCCCAAAATTTATATGGAAGAGCAAATGGCCAAGAATAGCCAACTCTATTTTGGAAAAGCAAAATATGGAAGGGGGTTGTCTTTTCTAGATGCCAAAATTTCTTAAGATATAATAATTTAAATTATAGCATTACCATGTATATAGGCAAATGTTTTCAACTCTAGCCCAGAAGCAGACACATTTACATGTAGAAATATGTTATATAGCATAATTATATTAGCAATTTTATATGGTTAGTCATATAAAAAATTGAAATCTGATTCCTATGTTATATCTTATACAAAATAAAAGCTACCTAAGTGTGAAAAGTAAAGCTTTAATGCTTTTTAAATATCACAAAAAAATATTTCTTTGGTTTGGGGTAAGACAGATTTTCTTTAAGAAAATACAAAAGTACAGCTAAAAAAATTGCTAATTTGGTTATATTGAGATTCAAAACTTCCATCTAACAAAAACAACACCATGAAGTGGAAAACATGATATAGATTGGGAGAAAATAGGTGAATCATGTAAAACTAGCAAAGTATTCAGATCCAGAATATATGAAGAAGGCTGCAGATTAATAAGGAAAATAAAAACAAATCAATTGATACCTTGGCAAGAATGTGAATACATATTCTCAGAAGGAGAAACCCAAACAATCAATATACATATGCAAAGATGGTCAGTTTCACTAATATTATGAAAATGCAGATTAGAACTAAAATGAGATATCATTTCACACCTACCAGATTGATAAAATTAAAGCACCTGTCCATATTACATAGTAACAAAAATGTGGGGAAACAGGAACATACATACACATAGCTGAAGGTAATGTAAATTCATACCATGACTCTCAAGTGCAACTTATCTAAGTATAGTAAAGGCATTCGAGTGATCACCCCAGGGAGGACAGAAGGGGAATAGAAAATAGCAGGTTCCAGTTATATCAGTATGTTTTGTTTGTTAAAAATTAATTCTAAGTCATATGTGTTGGTATACACCTGTAATCCCAGCTACTCAGGAGACTGAGGCAGGAGGATCACAAACTCGAGGCCAGCCTCAACAACTTAGTGAGACCTCTGTCTGAAAATAAAAAGTAAAAAGGACTGGTAATATAGGTAGCTCAGTATTAAGGTGTCCCTGGCTTCAATCCCCAATACCAAATAATAATGATAATAATCATAGTTGTTGTTATTATTATTATTATTATTATTATTATTATACAGCTATTTGATACAATATTAAGATTTACAAATAATGAAGTATTGGAGGAAGGAGAGGTTCTGAGGTCCTAAATAGAATAAGATATATTCCCTGCTTGTATAATTACATCAAAATGGGTTCAACTGTCATGTATAACTAAAAAGGAACCAATAAAATGAATAAATAAAAAGATATAACAAAGATGGCTGGTAGGTACAGAAGTGCCTTTTAGATCATTCTCTAACCATTTTTATATCCATAAATAGTTCATAATTCTAAAAGATATATGCTCTCTGTCATCAGGACACATTAATGAGAAACTGACATTTACCCTCCCACGTTGCCTTTCATAGATGATTATATGCCTTCAAAAGGAAATCCAGGAACTGAAGGATGAACTGGCCCTTGTCACTGGGGAGCAGAGGACAGAGGCACTCACAGAAGCAGAGCTCCTCCAGTAAGCCTGCAGACTTTTTTCTTTTTCTCGAACAGTGAAAGTTTGTGTTAACTTCTTTGTTGGCCTTGACGTTACAAATTCACCTCAGAGCATGACGGTCTCCTGGGACAGTCTGAGATTGCATTCAGGCGCCAGTTAGAGTGGAGGCTTTCCATGAAAAGCTGCATGAGGCTGCCAGTGTCTTTGCCGCCTGAGCTTTGAGCAAGTAAAGAACAGGACATGGAGGGAATGGGAATCTCTTTCTCATGCCAGCTGCAGAAAAGGGGCTGGGGAATAGTCATGCAGTTTTAAAATCCACACCCCAAACACTAAAGCTGTGGATCTCAGACCTGAAAGAAGTTCAAGAAACATCCTTTGTGTTAAACTGCATCTTGCTGCAAGCACCAATTTATCCCATGCCAAAGTAAGCTTTCTCCTTTAATAAATAGATGGCCCATATATTATAGTTCAAACACTCCAACTGGGAATGAAAGCAGGTATTCAGGGATTGTGCAAGCATGGCATCTTTCAGAGCCTTTAGATTTGTGGCCATATGGCATATCGGTGGCATGCTGGGGCCGCATTCTCTCTCTGATCATGCGCCACAGTGGTGGGCTCTCTTGTTTTTTGTGCAGCTTATTTAGCATCTGTGTAGTGATAATAATGGACCAGGCCTAGAGCAGTGACATTCTCTATTTCCAAATAACAAATAGAGCCATACAAGATTTTTTTCTAAAGATTAAACTGCCATTTCACCTAACTTTCCCTCAACAGAGAAAATGGTAAGTAAAAAGACCGTACCTGTAATACCAGCCGCTCAGTAGACAGAGCAGGAAGATCACAAGTTGCCAGGCTGGGGAACTTAGCAAGACCCTGTGTGAAGATAAAAAAATAAAGAAGTGCTTGGGATGTAGCTCATGCTAGAGGATTTGTCTAGCATGTGCCAGGCCCTGATTTCAATTCCCATACTGAGGGGGTGCAGGGGGCACGGGGAAAGAATGCAGTTGTTTTCCTTAAACTGCTATACAGCTTCCCAGGAGGAATGGCTAAAACTTGAAAGGCATTCAGCAAACTTTCTGTCCTCCAGGAAAGTGTTTCCTAATTGCACAACACTGTATGTAGTAGGATAAGCCCCTGCAAAACTGCTTTGTGGCAAATTTGCAATATCACTCCTTGAAGTAGCTCGGGATATCCTTTACAGAATGTTCTTTTTTTTGTTGTTGGTTCTTTTTAAGTTATACATGACAGTTGAATCCATTTTGATATAATTATACAAGCATGAAATATATTTTATTCTAATTGGGACCCCAGTCTTGTGGATGTACACAATGGCGAGATTCACTGTGGCGTATTCATGTATGTATATAGGAAACTCATGTCAGATTCATCCACTGTCTCTCCTATTCTTATCCCCCTTTCCTTTCCCTCATTCACCTTTGTCTAATCCACTAAACTTCTGTTCTTCCTGTCCCTCTTGTATTGTGGGTTAGCTTCTGCATATCAAAGAAAACATTTGACTGTTAATTTGGGGGGATTGGCTTATTTCACTTAGCATGATACTCTCCAGTTCTGTCCATTTACTGGCAAATGTCATAAAGTCATTTTTCTTTATGGCTGAGTAATATTCCATTATGTATATATAGTACATTTTCTTTATCCATTCATTTGTTGAAGGACACCATAACTTAACTATTGTGAAGTGTTCTGCTATAAACATTGATATGGCTGTGTCACTGTACTATGCTGATTTTAAGTCCTTTGGACATATACTAAGGAATGGGATAAATGGGTCAAATGATGGCTCCATTCCAAGTTTTCTGAGGAATCCTCATACTGCTTTCCAGAATGGTTGCACCAATTTGCAGTCTAACCAGTAATGTATGAGTATACCCTTTTCCCCACATCCTCACCAACATTTATTATTACTTGTATTCTTGATAGTTACCACTCTTGACTAGAGTGAAATGAAATCTCAGTGTGGTTTTAATTTGAATTTTTCTAATTGTTAGAGATACATTTTTTCATATATTTGTTGTCTGATCATATTTATTCTTTTGAGAAGTATCTGTTCAGTTCCTTTGCCATTTATTGAATGGGTTATTTGGCTTTTTATTGCTAACCTTTCTGAGTTCTTTGCATATCCTAGAAATTTACACCATATCTGAGGTGCAGGTGGCAAAGATTTTCTCCCATTCTGTAGCTCTTTTTTCATGTTCTTGACTATTTCCTTTGCTGAAAAGAAGCTTTATAGTTTGATCCCAGCCCATTTATTGATTTTCGATTTTACTTCTTGCACTTTAGGAGTCTTGTTGAGGAAGTCAGTTTCTAAGCTGACTTTTGGAGTGTTGGACCTACTCAGGGTCTCTGGTCTAATTCCTAGGTCTTTGATCCATTTTGAGTTGAGTTTTGTGCAGAGTAAGAGATAGGGGCTCAATTTCATTCTGCTACATATGGATTCCCAGTTTTTCCAGCACCATTTGTTGAAGAGGCTATCTTTTCCCCAATGTATTTTTATGGTGCCTTTGTCTAGTATGAGATAACTGCATTTATGTGGGTTTGTCTCTGTCTCTTCTATTCTGTCCCATTGGTCTTCATGTCTGTTTTGGTGCCAATACCATGCCGTTTTTTGTTACCATAGCTCTGTAGTATAGTTTAAGGTCTGGTATTGTGATGTTGCCTACTTCACTTTTCTTGCAAAGGATTGCTTTGGCTATTCTGGGCCTCTTATTTTTCCAAATGAATTTCATGACTGCTTTTTCTATTTCTATGAAGAACATCACTGGAATTATAATAGGAATTGCATTAAATCTCTATAGCACTTTTGGTAGTATGGCCATTTTGACAATATTAATTCTGCCTATCCATGAACATAGGAGATCTTTCCATTATCTAAGTTCTTCAATTTCTTTCTTTAGTATTATGTAGTTTTCATTGTAGAGGTCTTTCACCTCTTTTGTTAGATTGATTCCCAAGTGTTATGTTTTTTGAGGCTATTGTGAATGGGATAATTTTCCTAATTTCTCTTTCAGCTGATTCATCATTGGTATATAAGAATGCAGTTGATTTATGGGTGTTAATTTTGTGTCCTGCTACTTTGCTGAAATCATTTCTGAGTTCTAGAAATTTTTTGGTGAGTTTTTTTGAATATTTTAAATATGGTTTGTGTTGTTGACAGAGATAGTTTGAGCTCTTCTTTTCTTATTCATATACCTTTAATTTCTTTCTTTTGACTAATTTCTCTGGCTAGAGTTTCAAGGACTATGTTGAATAGAAGTGGTGAAGTTGGGCATCGAGTCTTGTTCCTGATTTTAGAGGGTATGCTTTCAGTTTTTCTCCATTTAGAATGATGTTGGCCTTGGGTTTGTCTTATGCCTCAGTGCTGAGGTGTGTGCCTTTTATCTATAGTTTTTCTGGTGTTTTAAACAAGAACAGAGGCTGTATTTTGACCATTGCTTTCTCTGCATCTATTGAGATAATCATCTGATTCTTGCCTTTAAGTCTATATATGTGGAGAATTACGATTATTAATTTCCATATGTCGAACCAACCTTGCCCTGGGATGATACCCACTTGATCCTAGTGCACTGTCTTTTTAATGTGTTTTTATATGTGATTTACCAGTATTTCATTAAGAATTTTTGCATCAATATTCATCAAGGATATTGGTCTGAAACTCCTTGATGTGTTTCTGTTTGGTTTGGGTATTAGAGTGATACTAGGTTCATAGAATGAGTTTTTAAAAGTTCCCTTCTTCTTTGTTTCATGGAACAATCTGAGGAGGATTGGTGTTAGTTTGTCTTTGAAGCTCTGGTAGAGCTTGGGTGAGCATCCATCCAGTCCTGGGCTTTTATTTGTTGGCAGGCTTTTATGGCATCTTCAATTTCATTACTTGCAATTGATCTATTTAAAATTTCTATATCCTCTGGTTTGATTTGGGTAAGTCATATGTCTTTAGGAATTTGTCAGTGTCTTTTAAATTTTCTAGCTTATTGGACTATAAATTTTCAAAATACTTTCTGTATTTTAGTAGTGTGTGTGGCAATATTTCCTTTTTCATCATGGATTTTAATAACTTGAGTTTCTTCCCCTCCTTCTTTTGGTTAGGTTGGCTAACGGTTTATCAATTTTGCTTATTATTTCAAAGAACCAATTTTTTGTTTCATTGATTTTTAAAATTTTTTTAATCTCAATTTTATTGATTTTGGCTCTGATTTTAATTATTTCCTGTTTTCTACTTATTTTGGTGTCAATTTGTTCTTTTTCTAGGCCCTTGTGATGTAATGTTAGATTATTTATTTGGTGTTTTTCTATTCTTTTAATGAATGAGTTCAATGCTTCCATAGTGTCCTGGAAATCTTGATATATTGTATCATGTTGTATCACTTTTTCATTTACCTCCAAGTATTTTTTTTATGTCATGACTGATTTCTTCTGCTATCCATTCATCAGTCAATAGTGTAATATTTAGTCTCCAGTAAAACTACAGTAGTTTCTGTTTTGTATTTTATCAGTGATTTCTAATTTCATTCTATTAAGGTCTGATAGAACTATTTTTTTTTGTATTTGCTAAGAGCTGCTTTGTGACCTAAAATATGATATATTTTAGAAAATAATCCATGTGCTGCTGAAAAGAAAATCATTCAGTCATTGATAAATGAAATGTTCTATATATGTCAGTTAAGTCTAAATTATTTTTTTTTAATTCCGTAGCTTCTTTGTTTAGCTTTTGTTTGGAGGATCTATGCAGTGATGAGAGAGGTGTGTTAAGGTCACCCAGTATTATTATGTTGTAGTCTATTTGATTCTTGATGTTGAAAAGGGTCTGTCTGATGTATATAGATGCTGTATTGTTTGGAGCATAAATAGTTACAGTTGTGATTTTTTATTGTTGTATGATTCCCCTAAGCAATATGAAATGACCTTCCTCCCTTCTGATTAACTTTGGCCTAAAGTCCACTTTATCTGTTATTCTTTAAGATACTAACCTGAGAATTCCTTCACTGCAATGCCCCTTTTCCCTC